TTTGTTTATGTTTGCTCATTTAAACAAATTTCAATATTTGCGAAGAAAATTAAAAGTTTTCTTTGCCAAAGATAATGAAATGATATGGTATTTATATTATAATGTAGATAGGTATAAAAAGATTTATGTATTTACACACATATCAGTATCTAAATTATAATTTAGATTTTCAACAAAATTATTACCCTTCCTACTCCATGTGGCATCAGTTATATTTTTTTCATTCCATTCCTTAATATCTCAAAAACTTTTACTTCATGAATAATTAATATTGTAATCATTTATTTTTACATGTTAGGATGGCTCTGGAATAAAAACTCGGTTCAATGGGAAGACATTCTAAAAGGAATATATAAAACATACGTAACTAATAATAGTATCTGAAAAGTACTTGTCAATCTCAATTTAAATTGTAACCAGTGTTGGTTGAACATATAAATGATTTATTGATGGGTTCCTTATCAAGATATGTGATAAATTGTATCATATCTATGCCTGAAAACTATAAACAATTGTAAGTACGCAATTAGAAATTAGAAAAATTTTGCAACCTATAAGTGTTTTTGTAAATATATTTTAGCTTAGTATGCAAATTCATTGAATTGAAATAAATTGTGTTTAAGCAAAAATCTAAAAATAAACGCAGTGAAAGTTTTTGTTATGATATTTCAGCATTAGTATCATAAATATAAAAAATTATAAGCAAAATGAATTTAATAAAAACATTATGAAATATTTGTTGTAATTTTTTTAAATATCTCAAACTGCACAAAATTATAATTTATTTTATTCTCTTAATTATTTATTCGAATATTTTTGTAAGCCCTTTGCGAGTCGTTTTTTACGTCAAACACTCACAAAAAAGTTTTGTTTTTAAGAAGATTAATATTCACGCGGTTTATATGTTTATAAGTTTTATCTCAAAACTATTGATGATGTATTAGAAGATAATACTATTCTCGATTATGTGGACGAACTAGTTTAGATATGAATATAATTAAATATATAAATTTATTTTATATAATAATTAATTATAAATATTTAATAATAAAAATAAATGCAATTAGATATATAATAATTATCACCCTTAGAAATTAGGTGCATTGATTCATATAAGAGCACTTTTACCTAATACAGTTTATATAAAGTTTTATATAAATTACCATGTTATTAACCACAATTATTATATATAATAATTATTTATTTGTATATCAACGTGTGTTTTGGGATAAAAAAAATAATTTGGTTTATTTATTCAGAATTCTTTAATTACTGTTTGCAAACAAATTGTATGATAACTGATATATATATATATATATGTGTGTGTGTGTGTGTGTGTGTTTATACTTTTTTATTTATTCTGATATTAATTACACAATTTTGATATCAGATGATAGATTTCAGTATTGAATTATGAGATTATAAATATACCCCAATGTTCATTTGCGATAACACATATTAATTATAATAATTATTGACTGTTTGAAAAACGATCAATTAAAAATGAGAATATAAAATATTACATATAATTAATAAAATTATTCATTTAGCAATCAGAAATTACCTTTTAATTTATATAAGCTAAATTTAAAATTTCTACTGTAAGTGCATATCAAAGAAAAAAAAAGAAAAAAAGAAATATGATTTTCATTTATGAAAAAATATATAGATAAATAAGATGATATCAAAAATAAAGCAAAAAATAAAAATAACATCTTATTTATAAAATTACAATATACAGCAAATCAGAGATATGTTATAGTCTCTTAAATCGGAAAAAATATATTTTATCTGATAAATAAAATGTTATAGTTTTATTTAAAATAATGACACGATACTAAACTCTCAAATTCATTTTTTAAATTATATATATATATATATATATATATATATATATATATGGATATATATAATAAATAGGCTAACAAATAAGCCAAGCATAATTTTCCCGATAAATGCAAAAATGGTATTTAAATTAAATAATATCAGTAGTATAATTACAGAATCCAAATAGATTATATGAATGAATATAAGATAAACTTCAATTTTAGATTTAAGTAAAATAAGATATCATTTTTGGATTTAAACTAGATAAATAAGTATATAAGATTCCACATTAATATCCAAAATTATAGTAAAAACAGATATTTAATGTCAATATAAAATAGAAGTTCAGTAATTAATGATCAATGAGCTAAACTTAGAAGAAATATGAACAGAATCAAATATAATTATAATTTCAAAAAAATTATAAATATTATTAGAAACTATTTTTTGATATTTTTGTAATGGCTTTGCTTACCAAGATCATTTTGCCACCTGCAATATTTCATTTTTATATTCTATATTATTTCCATATATAATACATATTATTTTATATATCTGCTCTATCTTGAATATATATTCCATACTGTCTTTTATTTATATTCCGCACTATCCATTTTTTGCTCTTCACAATTCATTTTTTTCATTTTTATTTCATTTACGCCTTATTTTTTCGAATTCAAATCTTGCTTTTGTACTTACTTCTCAAATTCTACTCATCAAATCAAATGCTATTAATCGCAAAATAACTATACTCTTTAAATTCTATTAGAAACTAATTGTTTTGCACAACAGAAGAAAATCTTCAATAATAAGATATTTTATATCTCTTCAGAAATTATATAAATATATTTATTTTTCATCTTATTATTCGCAACTAATATAACTTGTAATATCAAGTTCATATATTTTTCTTTTATTATTTTGCCGGCATATTATATATGAAAAATTAATAGTTACCTTGATAAAAATTTAAATGGCAGCTAAATCCATAATGCTCGCTTGCATAAATTTGCTTCATGTAAATTCTTGTCTCAAAATTTAATTTCAAATTTAAATTTTTATTTCTTCGATTTCATCCCTGCATCATTCTCTGACGTAGACTCGTTAGAAGACCATTCGGCTTGCGATAAGAGGACAAGCCCTCGCAGGATCTTTATAAAACCGCTGTCACCGTGACGGACACGACAAACGTCGATAGAAAATCCATATAATCGGTTCGCGAACTGGTTCGAACACATATCTGTGTACACGTGTTAGTATCAAATTAATTATTAAAAGATATAACGATCGAATCATATAAGATATTTTGTGATTATCCGAGCGAGAGAAAGAATAACCGCTTCGCTGACGTAGTTTTGGTTATCAGTTCATTTGATTCGGACGTTCCGGCAACTTGTTAGTAAACATGAGTTTCTGTGAGAACAATAACTACACGGTGGATGAGTAAGTTTTTATTTACATTCTGCTTTGCTAGTAATTAGTTGAAATTGTTTAATTTTAAATCGTTTTAGTTCTGTTTGCAATTGCTTTTATTTCGATGGCATAGCAATGTTTGAGTTTATAATACATAGTCGCCTATTTGTTTTATTAGCATTGCGTAACTAATTTCTTGATTTAAAAAATATTGCAGAAATAATATATTGCCAGATACAGAGTGAAAATTAATATAATTTAAATTCAAGAATTTATATCGATCCCATATACAAAAGCCAGTAAAAATATTTCTGCTTTATATAAAAATACAACAAATATATTTTACTAGCTTTATATATTTATATTTATATATATATATATATATATATATATTAGGTTGTCAAATATCTCCCTTCCGCCTTTTTGTATTATAAACCAAGAGCAAAAAGCGGAGGGAGATATTTGACAACCTAATAATATATATATATATATATATATATATATATATGAGTAAGTTCTTCAAGGGCATACATCAAATAAAAGGCAAAGATTTAGAAGTTAATCTTTAATTTTTCCAAACGTTTCGACATAGTATTTTATGTCATCATCAGTGGATCTACAGAATGAATATTGAAAAATTAATATTAATTAATAAATATTAATATTAATATTTATATTATTTTTCAATATTCATTCTGTAGATCCACTGATGATGACATAAAATACTATGTCGAAACGTTTGGAAAAATAAAGATTAACTTCTAAATCTTTGCCTTTTATTTGATGTATGCCCTTGAAGAACTTACTCATATTTCTCAACATCAAAATTAACTACTTTAACATATATATATATATATATCTTGATAGTTTTTTCGACGTTGAAACATATTCAAAAGTAACTAGCAGCCCCATATATATATATATATATATTATATATATATAATATATATATATATATATATATATATAAAATTTTCAATTAAAATTATATTAATTTTCACTTTGTATCTGGAAATATATTATTTCTACTATTTACATACCTGTATATATCCAGTTTGTTTATTGGCTTGGCTTACTTAGAACATTTAACCACCTACAATTAACATTTCATTTTTTTATATATTATACTATTTTTATTTATACATATTCTGTACTTGCTTATTCTCAACTGACCTCTTTTTTTTTTTCTTCAAAATCTTAACTTCTGCAGTGCAACTTCTAATTTTTCTTTTACTTCTGATTTTATGCTAACTCAAATTAAATGACAATTCTATGTCAGCACATGGACTCGAACCGGGTATCTATAGTATGAGTCGGTTATGCTACTGACTGAGCTATTTCTGCCACATCCTGTATTTTTATTGTTGAATTTAGAAAAACTTGATATTCTAAAAAAAACACACATAGAAGATGAAACATATAGACTCTCTAAGTCTTTTATCATTAATATTTTTGAAATAAACTTTACCTTTGATGTAGATTTTAATTCTTGCCTTCATCTTCTAAAACTATGTTTGAATTTCAAGTGAAAAATATGTCAATGTTGTTTTTTATCCCTTACACTTACAACTTGAAAGATATGGGGTCTCTAAGATTTATATCATTTGGAGATTTGGGTATTAAAAAACTAAACTCTTGATGTAATTCTTAGGGTTTTTTACATCTTGTCGATATTGTGATTTATACCAAACACATAGAAGATGAAAGATGTTGGATCTCTAAGATTTATTTATACCATTTGGTTATTTGAAACAAACTATACTCTATGCAGAATGTTTGAAATTTTGTTCGAATTCTGAATAAAAAAATACTTTATATAGTGCTCTAAGATTTTTTCATTTGTCTATTTAAAACGTTAATAAAAAAGTAGTTAATTTATTTCTCAATACACTATTTCTTTAGCTAAATATGCTTAGATAATGTTCGCGCCAATCAAAGCATGCGGCTATATTGATATATAAACAAAAAATCATCTATCAAAAAATCATACAAATCAATCAATCACTCAGAACGTAATCAAAAACAGTATTAAAATTATTGTAAATATACTTATAACTTGTTATTAATATAAAATAAATATATACTGTTATAATCAAAGTATTTACAATTGGTCCTTCATAAGGCAAGCAATCAAATCAATCCTAAAATTTTTCAGATAATTTTATGACTTTAATTAATTCAACATTCATTTTAATCGATACGGCAATAAACTAGTTCTTGCTGAATAGTTTTGATAACGTGTTTGTTATTGATATAATTAATTGATCATGACAGAAAATTGACAAACAACATGGATGTTTTTTATAACAACTATTGTTTTCCTAAAATATATCTAGGCACAAAATGAATAAAAAAATTTAATTTGTTAATATTATAGAGTAAAATATAAAATAATGGTAATAAAAATAACATTTTTAAATCGTACTAATATCGACAAATTTTTAAATGATCAAGCAGGTTAATTTTCATTGTAAATTTGCAACTGTTCGCAAATTTACAATAACTTCAAACCGTGCTTGATAATTTTCAAAATTTATTAATATTATTCATATATTGCCATAGGTATATTTCATGGACAACGCGTTTGTTTGGTATGTTTTAAGAGTAGTAAAAATTATTTATAGATTATTTTAGAATAAAATTAGTTAGAATGAATTAATTTAAAATAATTATCATGTTTGCATAAAAACTGACTTAACATTGTACATAGCAGTTTCGTGCCGTTTAAAAACAATTTATGAAAACTGCTAAACTAAACTAAAAATTAAAATTATATCAGTTTTATTGTTACCTGACTCAATTAGTAATTCTCAAAAACGTATTTTATTTAATCTAAATATTCATGTTTATAACAATTATAATTTTAAGGCATCGCGAAATGAAAAATTCTTTAAGTGAAAGCATTTTGAATTCGTTCAAATTACTTAAAACCTGACACCTTTAATTACCTAATACAGGTTTATCTATATGCTAGTAATCGAATAAAAAACTAATCTTCATGTAAAACATATTAGTAAAAAAAGTATAATTTATATTTTGTACATAAGTTAATTTTTTTGTCACTAAATAAATTGCATAAACAAACACCAAAATATGAAAATATTCTATTCGATGAAAAATAGTCTAACTAGTCATGTAAAAAAATTATTCTAGTCGCATATGCTAATCACACATTGGCATAAAATATACGCAGTATTGAAATTTAATTTATTTTATTATTCTAATTTGTTATATTTTTTCCTGTTTAATGTTAACTTACTTGAAAACAATATGTACTACATAATAAAGTATAAAGTGTCGTAGAAAATTATTATGATAACGAATGTTAATAAACAAACAATATAATGAATTTTAATGATTTTATATAATGTATATTATTATGAAAAATACTATTTATTTTTATTTTAAGTCAATTAATATTACGATAATTTAAGTTTAGATTTTGCTTAAACAAATTTTGCTAAATTTTATATATATATATATATATATACATATATATATTTATAATATCCCTGCAAAAAAATGTGAAATATACATACTCTACATTCCGCAGAACGCTCAAAGCCGTCGAGGAGGTTATCGCTAATTTGTTATTTTATTGCAATAACAAATATTTTAATTCATTTCAAACATTAATCACATTTTGAAATTTAATATTTTTATTTTAAACACGCAGGTCAAGTTGCTTGATTGCAAGAAATAACATTATGAGGCTTGAAGAAATCAATTAAAATTAGGAACAGTTCTGTGAAAGTCTTTCTAGGTGTTCGTTTAAGTAGCGTTTTTGATGTTCATTCTTTTTAAAATATAGTGTAAAAATAATTAATTATTAATCATTTATATCATAAATTATCAACGATAAACATACGCCATTTATCTAGTTACTAGGCAAATATTTCTGGTTGACCATCATTTATATTTATTTTACTACTAATTTAGTTATCACATTGCAAAGAGTTAACAAATGTTATAATGAATGTATTTAATTTGTCATTGCTATTAAATTATATATATATATATGTATATATATACTAGCAAACCCGACAAACTCCGTTTCGCCACCAGATGGTTTCGTGAGAAAGATGAAGAAATGTTTTGTTTGTTTTATATTTGAAAAGGAAAAATTTGATCAGGAAAGAAAACCCGGCTTATTTTTATATATATAGAAGATAATCTATTTGCAATTATTTAAAACAATTATTGATTATTTTTAATACTCGAATTTTTATTACGGTGCGTGAAGTTCCAGCAATTTGCATTAGGGCACGATGCCATGCACCACTAATTTTCTTAGCTATAAACCTTGCGGAGACCTTTCCAATGAATGCAAAATTGTCGAAATCGGTTCGTGCGTTCTGGAGTTATTTCGTCAGGAAGGAAAACCCGACTTATTTTATATATATAGAAGATATATATATATATATATATATATATATATATATATATTCCCAGGGACTACAAAAATGTGTTTTTGCAACAAAGTTTATTAGGCGGGATAGGGACAATATGTTTCAAAGTGCAGAAACCAGCGTCAAGTGGCGTATTATTCGATAATTGTATTAGACATAATCGATTTAACAGGTTCTACTTTATATTATTTTACTTGTTATTATTATGAATCTATGTCGATAAATGCTATAAAACATCAATGATGCAATTAAAAGCCATTAAAATTGTTATTCTGGATTGTTGTTATGAACTTTTTGTCATAATGCTAATTAACACATGATTAGAATTAATTAATTCATAATTAAAACAGTCCACGAATAACAAAAACTTACAATATATAAATAGCAAAAAATTAAATCTATATTTATCTGATTAAATAAAATTTATTCATAATTTTAATTTATTAAAAACCGAATCTGATTGATAATTACTTGCATCGATAAAGTATTTCTTAATAAATACTGAGCAACTGTTATAAAAATATATTTAAAAAAATTAAATATTCTTTTGAAATAACAATCTGATGAAAAAATTGATAAAGCAATCAGATTAAATATTACTTATATTAGATCAGTAATGGCTCATTTAAATAAAAAACTGCAAGATATTGAATGATAGTTTAGAACTCAATTTTAGTGAAATTGAGTGAATCATTCAGAGATCTATATTTTCTGAATTTAATTCTGCTGTTTTTTAGCCTTAACAAAATCCAAAAATAAATAGAAAATATCGACTTTTACTTTTGAATTTTTGCAGTATAACTTATTATATTATGAATAGTTTTCCTTATTAAATCATTTTTAAATTATTTAGCTTAATTCCTTGATTAGTTCCATATTTTTTGCATTTTGTTTTTCTTTATGCATTATTCTCTGCAATTTTATTTCAATAGACTGCTAAAGTCTTGATTGACAAAAATTATAAAATAAATCTTATAAATGCAAGGCACATACCATAAGTCCAAAGTACGATATAAAATTACTATTGATTTTTATCCAGAAGATATTAGCAAATCATCTCCGTCATCAGATATTTGTCAACATCAACAAGCAAATACGTGCATGTATTTTTTACTCGCTTTTCTTAAGGCTGATAACAGATCTATGTCAGAAAGTGCATCACAGATTTTGTTTTGAAATAATATCTATATTCAGCTTATTTTCCTCATCTTAATAATAACAACAGTTAAAGTTGTGATAAACCTTCTTAACCCTTATATTATATTCTATCCAATGCAAAACAGGATGTTATTATATGACATATTAACTTAATTCTTTTTAAACTTGAAATAATGATATTATATAAATGGAATTGTGTGTATTCTCTAATCGTTCGCATAAGAATTTTTCTGATTACATAGTTCGGATAGTTATTTCTTCATTCTTATAGAAAAATTGGTCATACATTTTTTCAACTTTTAAAGAAGTTATTGGAGCTTTATTTTAAGCCTACTAATACGCACAAATATTTAATAGGAGCAACAACTGGCTCATAATAATATTTTACAAACAGCAGATCCAAGTAAACAAATGTAAAAAAGCAATAACAATTAGAATTATTTCTAATTACTGCAATAATTAATTACAGTATCTGTTATTGCTGGATTGAAAAATTAACGATAACCTCCACTAATGATTTAAGCTCGCCGCATTGAATATATCTTGCCCTTATTAAAATACAAGACAAAAACAGGATGTTATTTCGAATTCGAACTAACTCTCATTAAAAGCAACAATTTCAATAGAATTTTATTGCGATAATATTCAACCAATCGAATCATTATACACAAATACATCATCAGCAACATTTTCGCCTCGGATGTGCAAATCCAACCATTTCCTATGATCCCTGAGGTCAATATATTCCCCAGGGAGAGTCTCATTAGCCTCACAAGTCGTCGGTTTGATAGCAATTCCTGGAGAATATGTTATAGATTAAGTCAACATACATAAGAAGTTGTAATTCTTATCTTAATAAGTGTTAATTTCACAAAACAAACATTTTTGTAATTATATCAGCAAATACTGATACATGAAGTCAAACAAAAATGCGATGATTCCTACGTGGCCTATAATAACAAATTTTATAACATTACTATCATTTGATTAACATTTAATTGATATCAAAAGGTTCAGGGTGTTTTCCTTGCATATATTATATTGCAATAAATGATTTGATAAAATGATTCAAATTAAATACTGAGACTTGTAAAAAGAGCATGTATTTATCTTATATTTTATTTAATTTCACTAATCTTGAGGCGGTGTAAAATTTAACCTCTATTGATAATTATTTAATCATAATATAAACGAAATTTCTCACAAGTAAATGTGAATCAATAACAATACTAATATAGTTGTTTTCATTATTTTTTCCGCGTTTAATCATTCGGCTTAATATTTGTTTAAAGATAAAATGTGTTTGTTAATGTTTAATCAACTGATAAATAAGTACTGCTGTAATAAAATTGTATGACTTGGGGGTCATCATGACTAATATTTGTGACTATCTTAGTTTATATAAATTAGCCACATTAAATAATAATTAGAACGGAGAATCAAATTAGATTCCAAGTAGACTCTATAGGCTAACGGGCATGGAAAATAAAGACAGCAAAAAAATATTTTAGAAAATTGTTGTGATGAAAATTCAATCAATTTATGATGTTCTATAATTTTTATAGCTGCATTTAAAATTATAGTACGTACATATGCCCGACCTATCAGGAAGTCATTTCTGATTAATGGTGTTCCTGGAGAGTCGACACAAGTGTTTTTCCTTCGAACCTTTACACACAGCATTTTTTCTTTGTAGTTTTCACTAAAATATAAACAGTATATTATATTATTCATCAAAACAATTTTTTTAACTTCTAATAAATATTTTTTCTTAATTTGTACGTCAGCAACATCCGTCTCCTTTTTTGATTAAAATTAATTTTTTTTTAAATATATCAGACTAATAATTATCTGATCCAAACTCACGCAAGTTTGATAGCAATTACTTCAAAGTGGAGAAATATGTTATAGATTAAGTCAACATACATAAGAAGTTGTAATCATTTGTTCTCTTACTTTCAATTTTGTTTTAATATATCATTATTATATCTGTGAAGTCAACATATTGTATTTTGTAATTATTGTATTTATTAGTTTTTTTTACCTAATATTTTCAAAATCACAATCTGAGGACGATATTATATCTACTATAGATCTAGTCATGATAGTTTTCAGTACATTACTTCGACTCCAACCTTGAGATCCCCAACCTTGTATTGAGCAAAGTCCTTCTTGATCAAACCCTCCTAAATTAATAGAGACTTTATCAGACAATATATTTTAATTTGCACAAAATAAAGTTTTAGATTATGCAATTAGATCTATAAAATGAATTAATTTTAGGTAAAAATAATTAATTATATTGTACCACAGATTATTGTATTGTACTATATTTTCTATGATCTGATGAATGATACCAAATATTCTTATTTGGCTTATGGCTTATACCAAATATATTCTTATTTGACTGAGATATAAAAAATATATTATGCTAGTAAAAATTGCAACAAAAAATTAAAAAATAAAAATAAATGCAATACTTAGTTTTTTTATGATATATTGTTTACTTGTTACTTTACCTATTTTAATCGGACTTAGTGTAGAACCTTTATAATAGAAAGGTGCATGAGTTTTCAATAAACCAATTGTTGGATATTCTTTATTTCCTGAAGATTTGGCAGTATAAAGCACTTTTCTTTCTTGATATTTTCCGGACATATCAAATAGGAGCAAGCCTGTCAATACAATTGTACTTTTCTGGAGATAAAAAAATGTTATTGAAGTAATTAAAAAATACAGCTGTAGTGATTATGAAATAATAATAATTTATTTTGGATTTCTATATGTATATTCAAATCATGAAATATACGTTTTAGCAGATTAACAATTTTAGCATTTAAAAGTCCGTTAGTTCTGAATCAGGTTAGATCGAATTCAAATCAAATTCAATAAAATCTGCATATCACTATATTTTATATGACTTCTTCATTAGCATAGTTCATCAATGTTTAATTGATTTTAAAGATAGATTACTTGATTAAGATTTCAATTGATTATCTAATAAATTATATATGTTGATAATTATAGTTTTGAATAACTTACAGTTGGTAGGCAATCCTCAGCAGTCAAAACCAAATCATCCGATATTAATACACCAGAGCACAATAAAATCTCTGACTTGATCGTAATTGCTACAATGTACTTATTTTCCATTTTTGGTTCTCCTCGTTTTGTCCACTTAGTTGGGCGAAGTTCAATCGGAATATCTGGTACATCTTTCAAAACGTTTTCCAAATGCTCTCCTTCAATGCCTAATATTATAGGCAACACTATTGCTAAAATTTAGAACTGTTAATATGAATTATGTGCATGAAATAATAATGCATTATACGTACCACAAAATATAGTTATTATGGCAATATATGCCAATATTACACAAACAACAAGAATTCTATTGAACGTGGACAGCCTTTTCCAACATTTGCATCTTTTACACATGAGTAAAACGCATTTGATATATATTGCTGAAAATATTACAACCGAAATTGACACTGAAATTTTACGAGAAATAAATTTTGTATAATTTTCAGTCTACTTGGATAACCTTTATATCATATTAAAATAATAAATCTTATTCAACATATTGTTTTGCTTTTAATAACAGAATAAATTTTGTTCCAGATGTTCCTATGAAAGGATTAAAGAGACTACAGAATTTCTAATTCAGAAAACCAAATATCGACCAAAAATTGGAATTATCTGTGGATCCGGAATAGGTAAATTAGCAATTCTATATTTTTAATTTATTTCAAATAACTATTCGAAATATCTATAATATCTAACTAATATGTGAGAAATAATTGCCAATGTTAATAGGAAATTTATATCAGGATTCAAAATTCATGATGTATGAGTGAATTATCGCAGAATAATTTAATACAAAACTTTGAAACAAATTTAAATATATTAATTAAAATATATTATTTATTTACTCTTTAGGATCTCGGTATTGTTCAGCTGATTATCCAATAATTTACAAAAGTAATTAATATAAGAAAATAATTAATATAAGTTTTTCATACTAGGACCCCTGGCTGACAATTTACAAAATGCAGATTCCTTCGATTACAGTCAAATTCCCAACTTTCCCGTAAGCACAGTTCCGGGTCATAAAGGTCGACTTGTATTTGGCACCTTGGGTGGAATCGAGGTCCTTTGCATGCAAGGACGTTTTCATTATTATGAAGGCTATTCGTTGAATAAGGTAATATCATTAATTACAAATGCAAATTAATTAAAAATATGCAAGATGCATCAAAATTGGTATCTCTATATTAATAAATATTATTTGAAATATTTTTACAAAAATAAATAAAATGTAGTGCATTATAGATTTCACTACATGCATTTTATGTGGTATGTTATGAAACGATTGCATGATTAAAAAAAAACACGCATTGATACGATTTCTACTACTATTTGAAGAAACAAGAAAAATAAATTTCAATAAATAAAACGCATTGTAAGTTATATATCTTATATATTTTCTGTATAGATATTGTTTATGTACATTATATTTATACGAGTTTTGACTACAGATATAAATATACTCAGTTCTTTTAAAAATTATAAACATGAGAATTTTATTTTAAATTACATTAAAAAAGTTTAAAAAAGGCGCATTACAAAAATATATAAACAAAATATATATTATAAATACGCTCGAGGATAGTATTTTATATAACCTGCTTATCTATAAATAATAATAATGCGTTAATATATACGACGTAAATATGATACATAAACTTTTATGATACAAAGGAATATTTAATGCTAAATTATCTCTCACTTTTACTGCAGTGTTGCTTTCCGGTGCGAGTTATGAAATTACTGGGCATAACGCATTTGATTGCTACAAATGCCGCTGGCGGATTGAACCCAAATTATGAAGTCGGTGATATAATGATAGTAAGAGACCATATCAATCTCATGGGATTTGCTGGAAACAATCCGCTTGTCGGCCAAAACGACGATCGCTTTGGCACTAGATTTCCGCCGATGAGCCGAGCTTACTGTCGCAACATGATCAACATAGCGAAAAAGGTATTTATTACTCTTGAATTCTTTGCGTGTTCGATACCAAATAATCTGTTTTCTATCGGTAATGTATAAGTATTCAATTTAATGAAGCGCTGATATGTCTATTATTGAGATACATGTTGTTGAGGCGTGAACTGCAATGATGCTAAGCTACCATGACTTCTGCTCCGGTGTTCTTGGCGGATTGAATAGCTAAATGCACGCTCGTTAATATGACCTTTGCGCCTATAAATGCCTGTACCATTTGGTGATTCTGCACCGCCTCCTGTGATGCCATTTTGATGACCTAACATGTCCAAGCCTTCAGCTTGCGATAACGCAAGTTTTCTCGAGACAGCCGCTAATGAACGATCTATAGTCGGCGGGCACGCGAACAGAGGAGCGACCATAGGCGCCATGGGTGCCGGTGGATTCATGCCGATGCCGTTTTTCCCATTGCGCTGTTTTTTCTTCGCTAATTTTGGCGCTTGCAACGTCGCGTATTGAGGATACTGCTGCGGTTGAGGTGAAAACTGTGGTCTGGTCTGTATAAATTGTTGCGGCGGCATAATTAGTGGAGGTGGTTGCACTCTACTTCGGTGTGAAAATGTGTGGAAATGACGAGGTGGTGGTGCAGCATGATATAGCACCACCGGTGGGCCGCGCATCATTTGCTGTCCAGGCGCTGGCCTCGGTCTAGACATTGTCATTCTGCGTTCTTGTTGCTGCATTTGTTCTTGCATTTGCTGTTTTCGCCTGCGCTCTTGTTCTTTTAGTTCCTTAACCGGTGGAGGAGGTGGTGGTGGTGCAGGTCCGGACATTTGCCTTACCCTTGCTGGTCGTCCCAATGTGGATCCACCATTATATATATCGCCGTCTAAGTCATCCAGGCTATCTACAGATCCACCCCAAACTTTATGATTTTCATTCCCATTATATAGAGATCCTGAGTCTTCGGCACCTATTTCCGCTGTGCTTTCGTACGCAACATTATTTTCTTCGTTACTTGGCCTACTTCCCACGTTGTTTAAAGTGGTTGTGCTGCCTGCTCTGGAACCCCAACCAACTGGTGCATTTAGAGTCTCGCATACGCTTCGGTCACTGGATCCGGATTGGTGTCTAGCATAAGAACTGTCTGCGTAAGCATGAAAACAACATCTAACTAATGCGTTCGCAGCAGCCTCTCGTTTGCATATAAATGCATGACATTCCAATACTTTGATTCCGCTTGTCCTTCGTAATATAGCAGCGAAGAGCGGCGGATGTTTAGCGCGGGATGGTGCCTTAGCAAACGGAGAATCCAATGGCAAAAATTTTGGTTCTGGGTCCGATCGAGATCTTTCAGGAATCAAAACATGACGGACCGCAGCGCAATAATGCAATGAGTCAATGGGAAAAAATCTAGTGACTTGTTTCCGGTTTTCATCGACGTTTTCCAATAAGATACCATTAGACCACACACTAAGCCAAGAATCTATACCGCGGGCACCGGCCGCGCCTTCGGATGGGTAAAGACTACGTAAAGGTTCTTGAATACCTTGTAATCCATCCTTGCTTTGTCTAGGCACTGCACTTCCTAGATATAATACTCTGCAACGACATATCGGTGTAGATTCACCCATTGTTACAAACAAAAAATCACTTTAAACAGAAAACACAAATTAAATATCAATAAGTATTCACGAAAATAAATATATTCACTGTTAACACATAACACAACACGCACTCAATATTCTTGGCTCGCCCAGTGACATTAACAAGTCAAGATGGCTGCGGCTCAGGAATTTGGGTTGGTTTTTGACATTCACGAGTTGTTTGAAGGCTAAACTCAGCCAGATTTTTATCCAGCATAACACACATATTAGACAATTCACTCAACAAATAAATATATTAAAGCATTTCTTTATAAACTATTTATTTTCGCGTTTTATGAAATTTAATTCTTCAGCGCGTACAACACACGACCGCTGTCTTGCTTGACTTTGTATGGAAGGGCAAGCCTTCGACGTATTTCCTCGAGTCCATTTGGTTTTCTCCTTCTAGAGAACCACTTCTCTCTTGCACACCTGTCCGTAAATGTGAATGTATTGTAAAAATGCGACCAATACACCTTGCACGCTGTTCTATAGGTACACCTGAATACACCTATGATCCGAAACTAACACACGATCAGTAAATTATTACTGAACTTATACACATATACATTCAGCCGTATATTGTGTATGAAATCAAAACGGTGTCGCTGACTTCGAGACCTGTTATTATAATTCCGTACTTGCCAAAGGAATCCGTACAGATTAACGATTTCCATTTAATGAACGAATTATTAAACAAAACAGTCGGAACCTCTTTTTATGGAAAGTTAACAAGTTATTGTCATAACGTGCAATTTTGTTCATCGCTATAAATATGTAACAAGCATAAATAAAAATAATAGCAATTAGTATTTACAAACGCCAAGAAATATTTATGATGCAGGCCGTCATGGGAAAGCGCTTTTGTATAATAAACCAATGAGAATCGTTTCATAAAAAATACTATATCACAACCGATTCACTGAAACTGTGAGTCATTTGTAAAAAATACAGACTATTGTTGAAACGCGATCGTATACTGAGGATTGCATTCTAATACACCTATATTTACTAAATCACAACTATAAAGTAATGCATTATTTCATTTTTAACTTCGCATTTTTAAAATTGTGCAATTATTTTACTCTATGTCATAAAAGTAACTTCAAACATTTGTGTAATATGAATATTGATAATCAACATATTCAATTATAAAATACTATAAAAAACCTACATGGTCTAAAGTATTTTACAAACATTTAGATCTCTTTATACAGCAAATATAATTTAGACCTTATTAATGAAAGATTTAGATAATTTTTTGAAGTAATTAACAGTTTTTTTTATTATTTGATAAAACTGTTTTTTATTATAATAAATTCAACTGTAAATATTATTCTTGAAACAATTTTATGACCATAAAATAATATGGAATGTTTGCATGTTTGCATGTCTGAAATTCCTTAATGCATTTTCTTAATTGTGGACAAGATAAAAAGTTGAAATCGACAACTATACCGTGCTTGGGAAAGTTGCACGTCATTGACAGACACAAATTGTTCCGTTCGATTCCGAAATTCTTAATATCTTAATCGATTTGCATCTGCTTCTCATTAAGGCCACGTAGCGGAAAATAGCATTTTTGATCCATGCATTAAAATAAATGCCGCATACTTGAAATTTTCAATTTGGATTGATCTCACTGATTAAATAAAGAAAGCTGTTTACACTCAAATGATTCCATGGACAACTTTTGAAAATATTTCAGTAAATAAAGCAATTCTGTGAAACGGAGGCCGCTAATTACCATGCAACTAGTTTGGTTTATTGTATAATGTCATGGTCAACATAAATAAGGCATATAAGTTGTATATTGAATAACATATACTAAACATGTTATACATTTTTAGCTTTAAAATAATTAATACATTTCAACAGTCACATTAATTAAATGATTCAAAATATCTATTAATTTATACTACGATAATTTCATTTAAATGCTTTTAAATAGGATTGATTTTATATACATTAAATGGTATTTAAACAAACCTAATTTTTGTATTTTTTACAAAGTAACATGAATGATTAATGATTAAAACAAAATTAGTTTTTGCTAGCGTTAAATTAATGCTATTGTGAAATTGCTTCTGAGGAATTAGAAACTATTTTATATATATTATCATAGTTGAAATAAATGAAATAGTTTTAAATTTTACAACTTATATTTTTATAAATAATATTTTTTATCTGAATATTCTGACATAAAAAGTAGTTGCTATTGGTATTTCTATGATTAGTTAGAGATACGTCTATAGACAATTGATTATTGAAAACAAATAATCTCAATTGAAATTGTTAACGATTAAGACTCAACTCTGGTCTAATGAAATTATATAAATTTATTTTAATATTCTTCATAAAGGATAGCAATAACAAAACCTAATCCCTTTTATTTTACAGTTTCGAAGTATCAAATAATCCCTTATATTGCAATGCATCCTGTCTATGAACAGTCCTTCAATCATTAATCCTTTTTTCTAAAAAATGTAGATTCTTTGAACTTATTCACAGGTCAATATATAATTGAATACGAATGTAATAGGCAGTCGCTTGTGCCCAAAAATAAACTAATCAAAATATAATAGAAAATACATAAAATTATGGGACCTCGTAAATTATCATCTAAAATCTGATCTAAGTAAGATCAGTAATATATTAACATTCTTACGAGTAGCAAGTATTAAGTAAACAATCAAACATATCAACATCTTTCAATTCTTAACAATATATCATTTTATCTAAATATATAACAATTTAAAATATTTATCATCTTTTAATTGGTCTGATATAGCCACTATCTGATTATATCTGGGTCTTCGGAATTATCCGTGACAACTATTTTAACAGAGTTCGGCAGCATCTCGGTGGATCACGAGCTCTTTCCATAATTCACGTTATGAACTAATTGGGGTCAAATCAAAAATTTAAAACTTATTTTAGCTATTTTTCTTAACATATATGAATTATTTGTTTTTTTTTTGCATTAATAACAGTATTCGAATTTTTTTGGAAGTCGCGATGTATAACCAGATAGCAAAACTATTCATGTATTGAAATATTTTAAGTTTATTAATAACCATTCATAACTATGGAAGTTTTACACTGCATGAAAATATTTTTTGTGTTATTCTAACATTTATTACAAATATTATAGATTGGTGTTTACTCTTTACTTATTGTTAGGTACCTACTTATAAAATTTTCATGCTCAGAAGATTTAAGTACGTTCTAAATTGCAAAACAATTAAAGTTCTCTGTAATCTACTCAACATAAAACAAGATACCATTAAAAAATGCATTCTCATAGCAATAAGGAAATCGTTATCTTTCAATTATCTTTTGCATCTGTAATAAAAAGTCCTATTATCTTTCCAGATTGCCGCAGAGATGAAATTGGGGAAGAGGGTCCACGAGGGTGTCTACACTTGTCTCGGGGGTCCCAACTTCGAGACGGTCGCCGAACTATGTATGCTGAAGGCGGTCGGTGTGGACGCAGTAGGAATGTCAACTGTACACGAGGTCCGTGCCCATAACTGTAACCGCATAACTGAGCTACGCGAAGCGCAGAATCTTGCGAACGCGCCTCATTATACATAATTAAAGAGCTGGTTAAGGAAAACCATTTTTAACAGAACTATCTCATGAATTAAACACACTTTTATCATAAGAATGAATCAATTCACTCTTAGCGCCAAGCTTGCTAATCAGTCAAGCATTGTCTCGGAGTAACCTCTCAACTTACGAATCATTTTCGGGTATTTTGGACGGAAACTGGGCTACGCAGTTCACACGACTTGCACAATACAAAATGAAATGTGGATATTAACGGTCAAATGTAGATAACATTATTATTAATGCTTGAATTAATTATCGTGCTTTGGATAAGAAATAAATTAATCCTTCTCGTCTCTTAACCCTTTATGAGCTCCCGTAACTTTCAAGTTGGGTCCAATTTTTTTCTACGTTTTACTAAATATTTTTTTTTTGTGAGATGGCGTGTAAATCTTAATTTTATAACGTTATCAAACTAGTAAATATCAATATTTAAGACAATTGCCAGATGGTTGCCAGGTTTTTCAACCTGAAATAACATTTTCAATCACAGAAATGCGAGCATTATAGGCCGCTGTAAGTCACATAATTTATTAACACCAAAAAGTTTGTTTAAACCATTTCTGTTCTTTATTTTATTTATAGGCTCATAATTACTGATTTTTCCGCTATTTATATACTATCGCTATTTTTTTGGAAGTACAACAAAAATTGGGCCCATTATCGATGTCTCCAAAATCTGCTTGAATATAGAAATTCAGTAATTCAACTTGTGCAACTGTTTTATTAACAAAAACAAATGATTTTTAATTAAATTTTGAAAATTTTATATGTCTAGGAAGTAATTCTTGAGTCAATTTTTAAAACAATTTGCAAATAATTGTTATGCAAGTACGAATTGCTAAAATATGAGCGCAATCTGAAATGGTTTGATAGAATTAATATTAATTATTTAGCGAAGCCTCTTTTATAATTTCCTTCGAAGGATCGCTCGTTGATTAGTTGCAAAAACGACGGGACCTATACGACATGGGTTAGAGGTCCCGGGTTCGATCCCCCTTCGAGCAGCTTGTTGTCAAGCAGTAGTGACAACGATTTTCACTTGGAAATATAGATAGCAATTTTATATTTCCAGGTGAAAATAGCTCCGATCCGGCGTTGCTTCATCATCAAATATTCTCCCTGTTACAAAAATTGTGTTAATAAATAATAACACAGAGATAGGACAACTGTTTGGGTTGCCATTTGTAGAACCGACTAATATTAAATTAAAATCAGCCCAACAGCTTATAGGACAGTTAACTTCTTATTGTTGTTCAAAATAATAAAAAAATGAGTCGGCTTATGTCTGTTCCTGAAAGTCACAAGAGATAATAGTTTTTGAAATGTCCAAACCTGCTTTAGTCAAGTAAAAATTCCATCCTGACTATATATTTAATTTGAAATAAAAAATATATTTCGTGTATCTATTCTCCGCCAGCTCCATTTCTATTGTTATTATATTTGTAGATAGTTTCTAATCGAATGCAAATGATATTCGCCGCCTCATTAGAACTCACGCTCACAGTTTGCTGAAACATTTATACCATATTTGTATTATTCGAGTTTGAGTTTGTGTGTCATTCTTTAAAAGGGACTAATGTATGAAATTATTGACCCATATCCCTCGTTAAGCATATCTGTAGGCGACAAATGGACCACTCACCTTGCATAACTCGAATGATGGGTTTTATTTATAACGTAATCTGCATATTTTCTGAATTAAATATAAAAGATAACGATGGACTCAGACATAAATTCATATTTATGTATATATATATATATATATTTATATATATAATTATTTATATTATAAGCGTTCTTTCTTCAGGTTAATGTCTTAGCAATAGGCAAAATTTATGGACAATATCAAAATATTTTCAAGTCGCCCACCTAGATATAGTCAACTGAGCCATAGGCATCAAAGCTGTAAAAACGTTTCAGTTATTATGTTTTCAAGACATTGTTTATCAGACTTCTGTATAAATAAATAAAAATGCGATTAAGTATAATTAGTTTTTGCTAACGCAATGGCACAGAACGTGTTCGTAAACATTCCTCTTTCGCACGTTGCATCACATCGTGTTATTACAACCTATTAGAAATTCATTTAAATTCCATACATTGTACGCAGTGAATCGTAATTATTTAAAAACAGTGTTTGTCAAGCCAAAACTAAAAAAATCACAACATCATTCGTTATACTTATGCTGTCATAAAAATTCTGCTTGTTCGCTGAAGATGATAACGAAGATTTCATAGTGAAACTGTATATTTTATTCTTTTCGGTAAATGACCTAATTTTATTATTTTTTACAGGTTTTGGTAGCAAGACACAGTGATATGACAGTTTTTGCATTCAGTCTGATTACGAATAAATGCTCAACCTCTTACGCCACTGAAGAAGAAGCGAACCATGAAGAAGTAATGGACGTAGGAAAAACCAGCGCTCCTATTTTATGTGATTTTGCAACGAGGATAGTTAAACAGATCAGTAAGATATCTGGATGAAATTGTGTAAAATAATAATTGGAATTATTTTTGAGAACTGAACGATATTTTAAAAAAAATTATCAATCGCCATTCGCCATTGGCTGCGAGTTAAATATATTTCTAATTCACAATCTATCCTAGGGATGGATTAGGTTAAATGCAAAAAGAATGTTCTAACTCAAAATTATTATATTTATTAATGCAAGTTAATATATAACTCCAGTTGTTAGACGATTAAAAACTATTCTATCATTATTTAAAACATATTGTAATCATTATTTCATTTATAATAAAGTACACCTAGTAAATAAGTATATACTAATGAATTTGAGTGAATAATATTTATCAAAGCCAAAATATTAATTTTCGGCAAATACTTAAATCAAATAATTATTCAATAATGCAAAAGCATTCTATGTGTATTCATATATTATATATTAAATTTTAAGAACATTTTAGCTCTCAAACTATATTTATTCATTAAACGAATTATTTTTATAATAAATATTTTATAATTAAAAACATTTTTTTAAATTAATATTATTATTCTTATTATTAAAATTTAATTAGATTTTTTTTAATAAAATTAAAAAATCAGGAAAGTGGTTGATTCATTGATTATTATTAAATTATTCTTCTATAATCGATTAGTAGTAGTAACTAGTAGAGTATTTGAACTTTAAACTGTGTTTAGTTATTTGTTCTTTTTAATAAAACACAAACAGATAAATATGCAAAAAGATTTTTTTATGTTTAAAACAAATTAAGTATGGCATTGATATATTATCTTTCTAAAAATGAATGGTACACTATAAAAAATTAAAAAATTTCTAATTATTGATATCGTTGCATATGATTCGAAAAGTTATTAGTTTATGTTAGTGTTTGAGGTGTCAGAGTTCAATTTATTTTTTATTTTTTCGATGAAGTAAGCAGAAAAACTAATAATTTTGTAATTTTCTAATTTATGTATCATGCCGATACGTGTTACACAATTTCGTAATATGTTATCCTAATCAATACAGCAATTAGCATGTAAATATTTTCTAGAAATCCAGTTTCAACAACATTCGTAGATAAGAAACGCTCTTGCAACGATTGATAATATTATCAATCATAATTTTATTGATAATAATTGAGTGATTGAATTATTTACCATATATATATATATATATATATATTTATATATATATATATACATATATATATATACATATACCATACATTATTTACTTGATACAAGTAAATAATGGAATAAATATGATAGAATAAACTTCGTAAAAATGCTACTCATTTAAGTGTGGGCGACAACAGCGACCAGTGCGATTCACAGAACAGAATATTGCGTTAATTATTTCAATTAAAAACATTTTTTAACTAATTTTCAACAATTAATCACAAAGAAACGGTTAGGTAGACTTCACCAACACAGTTAGCAACTGATTTCTTTCAAACCGTTTTTGTACTTTAAAAATCGGTTTTTTGAAGAATTTTTGGCTAAAATGTTGACTATTCGGTATAGCAATTTTTGAGCAAAGGTCGACGAGAGAGATCAAAATTTGGCTCACTCAAAATATATTTTTATAGAGAAATAAGATAAGATTGCACAACGTTGTAAATTGTTTTACGGAATATATAATGAATAATTATCTTCTATATATATAAAAATAAGTCGGGTTTTCCTTCCTGACGATTTAACTCCAGAACGCACGAACCGATTTCGACAATTTTGCATTCGTTGGAAAGGTCTCGGGCTCCGCAAGGTTTATAGCTAAGAAAATTAGTGGTGCATGGCATCGTGCTATTTAGAAAATCGTTGTTTTTCACATGGGCAGTTACACGTTGCCTGCTCACGAGTTGGAAAACCATCCCCTTTGTTTGCGTTAACGCCAGACCAAAAAACAAAAAATATGGTTTACCAAAGAGCACTTCAATGAAACGGATAATTTGCGGATTCACTATCATTTACTTAGAGAAGTTCAACCAGAAAACACTTCATTTTTGCAATCGAAATAAATTCATTACTGTTGTGTAATAATATGAAATTTTTTTCCTTTTCAAATATAAAACATACAAAAAATTGCTTCATCTTTCTCACTAAACCATCTGGAGGCGAAATGGAGTTCGTCGGGTTTGCTAGTATATATATATATATATATATATAATCATTACCGTGTAAAGTAATAAATTTTTTTTAATACAGTTATGAAAATAGCTTTGCATATGATTAAAATAAATCTAATTTTATTTTCTGTCATTATACGAAAACGTTACTGAAAACAGGTATGCTTATTTCTAAACTGTGCAGCAGGTGCAATTTCAGCTTTCAAAATCATCACAATTCAAATCAATTATATATATATACAAATATATATATATATATATATATATATATGTGTGTGTATGTGTGTGCATGTTTTTCTTATTTTTTTAAATTCTGCTAAAAATATTTATTAAAATAAGTATTTGCTTTTTTGTATTATTTCTACAATTTTTCAAGAATTTCTGCTTTATGTATGTTAGATTATGTAAATCTGCACAAATTAATGAAAAAAGTAAGCTGACATGTGTTCAATCAAAATCGGTATACTCACCTGTTTAATTTTGTTAAAATTGCATTTCAAAAGTTGCGCCAATCACGTGATGATTTTTATATCGTCAAGGTGTCAAACTGTGTCAGGCAACTTCATTCCTGTTTGACGTAGGTTGTCAAAAAACTGTCATCATTGCCAAAAGTCAAAAATAACAAGCACGTATCTCTGTTGGGTGTTGTTCAAAGATGTTTCATTTGGTGTTTTAGAATACTAATTTTTTTTTCCTACAGCTAATATATTTACAAATTGTTTAGATAACTTCTAAACATTTGCAAATATGCAGGGTTTTAGAGCTTTGAATGTTCATTTTTCCATAAGTACGTAACCATTTTAGCCAATTCACCATCTATCCATTATAATTTTATTTTGCTTTCACTCACAAAAACATATATAAAATGAATATTCAAAGCTGTAGGAATACTGCGGATGCTGTTCCCTTATATTTACCACAGGGATTATATTTGAAACCTATTGTTAAAATTCATATGTCAGTAAGTTTACCTAACATCAAGTCAGGTAAAAGTGTTTCAAATTGGGAAGTTATGGAAAAAATGAGATTTATGATAGAACCAGATAAATTTACAATATTAAAAGCTACTAATAGTTCAATGGAATTTATAAGATTTGAAGGGGAGATCGAAGATAGAGGTAAACTAAGTAATGTGTTAGCCCGACTGGATGGTAGGCTTTTGAAGCTTACAAATATATCTGACAATCTGAGAGTGAGGGCTGCTGAAGCTAAGGTGCTTAAAATTGAAAAAAATGGTCACTTCGAGTCTCATATTTTCTTTCTTTCCTTCTGGTTTTTCATTAATTTTACATATTTGCAGAATATAACCACTAAACTTTACTTTTTTTATTGATGCTTATTGAATTAACTTTGTTAGTACCATCAATTTAGTTAAAATTGATTTTCAGAGTGATTTTCCTACTCGGCATGACTGGGATTCTTTCTTTCGAGATGCTAAAAATATGAATGAGACAAAGCCCGGAGAGAGACCTGATACAATACATATATCTAATTTACCAACAAAGTGGTTTGTTCATAAAAGTCAAATGAACGATGAAAATATAAAGCCTTCCGAACGCATATTTAGCAAGGTGTTCGAAAGATTTGGAAAAATACGAAATGTGGATATACCTATATGTGATCCTTATAGACATCTCATGAAGTCTCATATGACTGGAATGAAAACATTTAATTTTGACCAAGATACATATTTTGAAGGTAGTTATTAAAAATATTCTCTCTGTAAGATATTTGCTGTTGTATTTTCTATAAATAGTTGATATACGATATATCGATAGATGTTATAGGATTAATAATGCATAATGAGCCTGTAGACATTATTTTTAGTTAACTAATATAATTGCTATAATGATAACTTTTGTAAAAGTGATCTTTAATAAAATTCATTGCTCATTCATAGATATTATAAGTAATAATTAAATTATAGCATTAATTGGAGAATTTCTTTATCTAGGGTATGTGCAATTTGAAGAATATATGGGATTTGTCAAAGCAATGGATGCTTTGAGGGGAAAAAAGTTATTATTTAAAGATGACCATGAGAACTTTGTAATAAATATCAGTGTTGATTTTGATAAAAATAAACATTTAAGTGATGCTTGCATTCGTCGTAGAAAAATAGTGAGAGATCGATTTGTTGCTAGAGATAAAGAAAAGGAAGAACGTGCTCGAAAAGAGGCAGAGGAGGAGAAGAAGAAAGAGGAGAAGGAGAGGTTTGCAGTGTATTTTTATTATAGTTGTAATTTATGATGTATATATATATATATGTATATATATATATATATATATATATATATATATATATATATATATTATTACTGCACTTTTTTGTGTCTTTATGATAAATCATAAACTATATCGTTTAATGGAGTATGCTAGCATTCCCAAAAGAATTGATAAGTGTAAAAGTTTTTTTTGGATCTTAATAATGTGAATCTTTTCATTAACCTTATGTTAAAATTTACTCCCTAACGTCTTACTAAAACTACCATTTTTCCTATTCTAGATATATATGTTCAAAGTTTATTTTTGCAAGTATTAATAATGCTTCCAAGGTAGTATTGAAAGCCTACCTTGATAGCATATGCTTTTAATTGTTTATACTATCTCTACAGGTCTAATAGAAAGATATAAAGAAAATTGTGCTATGAAAAAATGTGAAAATATATGTGTAAAAGTTTTATAAAAGTGTCATATAGTAGTAGGGAATTGTTATAGGCAATTAGTGTTAGAAGCTGAAAAAGCCAAAGAAGATCAGAGGCGTCAGAGGGAAGAACAACGTAAAAAGAAGCAATTAGAATTATTGAAGAAGAAAGAAACTGAAGAAATTAATCAAAAGATAGCGCTAGAAGAAAAGAAGCTTTTAATTACACAACGCAAACTTGAAAGTATTAGACTGCTAGAAGAGCTGTTCAAGAGAATAAAGGTTAATATCAAATTTTTAGTTTGTTATTTATACCCATAATAACTTATAAAATATTTTTATTGTTATTTATATATTTGTACCATATTCAGCTAAATCCAAAATTTCAACAATTACAAGAAGATAAAAGTAAACATAATAAAAAAATTAAAGAAGAAGATGATGAAAAAAGACTTCGAGATGGAATAGTGTCTAAATATAAAATGACTCATGAAAAGCAACTAAAAGAGCAGCGAGAAAAAATAAAAGAAATGGAAGGTGTGAATGTTACTTAAATTTAAAATTTGAAACTATATTTTGTAACTACTTCTATAATTTCAATTCGGTTTTAGGAGCAAATATTTTGCAAAAAATCTTAAAGGAAAGTGAAGAATTAAATCCCTCCTTACGTGAGTCGGTTTCAATGACTTCATTATCATCAGAAAATTCAGAGGATGAAGTTAAAAAACACAAGAAGTCAAAGAAAAAGAAAAAGAAATCAAAAAAGAAAAAGCATAAGGACAGTTCAGATTCTGAAGGTATCTTTTATATTAATTTTTTTTTTACTCATATAAGTTAAAAAACTGTTCTATAATGGTACTAATTTTCAGCTAGTGTTTCCAGTAAAAAGGATAAATTAGAAATGGGTCTTCCGCAAAATCCACCTCCTTGGTATGGATATGGCCCCCCGCCTAATGGCGTTTTTCCTTTTCCAGGTAACACAATACATAATCGATACAAATATAATTCCTGTTTAAATTATTCTATCTATATTAATCCTAGTTTTTGCTATTATAACTGATTAACTAAGTAATTATATTATAGGACCCTTCTTTCCTCCACCGATGATGGGCCGAGGCGGTCCTTTCTATAATAGGCCTTTCAATCCTAATGGGCCTCCTCGTGGCATGAGAGGCATGTATCGGGGTCCTAGAGGGTTCAATCCAATTTGGCGTGGAAGAGGTAGAGGTGGACCAATGAACCATCAAATGCCACCGAATTATTATGATGATGATGATGAATATACCAGGTGCGTGTAATTGTCATTTTTGTTGAAATTAATATGTTTGACATATTTTGCAAATTTAGTCTACAATTTTTTAAAACAAAATGTTTGTTGAGAGGGTGTTATTCCCAAATATTTATTTACAAGGTTTCATTTCTTAGCGCTTTTGATGATGGCTTGTTGACCTAATTTTGTCTTTATCATTAGTTTCTTTACAATATTAACATATTTTTAAATATGTATATGATTTTGAAATAATTGGTTCACTTTAGAGATCAGTAATGAATTATATCGAAACCCCAAAAACTCTTTTCTTGCTTCTTTTTTTATTTGTGTGAAATATCATGTGGTTCAATTTGTGCTAAGATTATAAAAAAAGGATTTTGGTGAAGTTTCAGGACATTCTATGCAAGTACATTATACTTATACATTTTTATTTTAGTTTTGTAATTCTGAAAAGAATGATAAGCTAAAATATGTAAATAATAATTATTTTGTATTTCTTAGATTATGAAATTTTATTTTTATTACAGATACTTCAAGAGAATTTCAGGAACATTATCTGAAGATAAGAGATCATATTCAAGAAGTTACAGTAGGAGTCGATCACGTTCTAGATCTAGATCACGATCTAGAAGGTCTTATTCAAGATCACGATCGAGGTATTTTTCTATTTATTTAAGATAGTAGCGGTTTACTTTTGAGTAAAAATTTTACATATATTATTTAAGGAGTAGTATTTTAGATAGTGTTTGCTATTTCAGAACTCGACGTTCGAGATCACGATCTCGGCGTTCGCGATCGCGATCTCGGCGTTCACGATCGCGTTCGAGACGCTCAAGAACAAGAAGATCTCGCTCAAGATCCAGGAATTCACGATCGAGATCGAGGTCTAGGTCTCGTTATCGTTCTCGATCGCGATCTCGAAGCTCAAGATCCAGACATCGTTCTACCAGATCTCACAAATCGCGATCTAGAAGTAAATCTCACAAATCTCCAGAAAAGGTTTCAATCGCAAATAATTCTAATCACAATAATTTAATTCCTCAACAAGTATTAACAAATAAAGAAATACAAAGGAATGTCATGCAGAACTTAAAAGATAGACAAGAAAAGTCTGAAACCGAAGTTCATAATAATGGATCTAGAGAGTCGAGATCTCCTAGCTATAAAAGTATAGATAGTTCAAAATTTATTTCTCCAAATAGACTTAGGAACAAACGTTCTAGATCAAGATCTTGGTCTTTGCCTCGATCAAGCAACAAGGGAAAAAGATCCTGGTCCAAGAGCCCTAGCCCACACCAGTAATTGTTTTATGAATCGACATTGATTTTTCCATGTTGTCATTTGAAATACATTTATAAAGTAAATACTCATTACGAACAAATTCGTGATCTATGTTCCAAGTTTCATGTTAACGTTGTATAAATGTTAACCTTGTGATAATTGTCATGTGATGGTATTTGCTGCACAAAATAGATGGAATAACATAGGTTTATTTGTATGTAAAATTTTTCGAATTTAATTATGAAGATGTAAAAAGTTGATATAATATAATAGATTTTGTTTATTAAGTTATTTCATTTTTTAAATTTATGGGTTTATAAGCTGTTATTAATTAAACAGTTTTCAAATTACATATCAAACATATTTTACTTAAACTTTCTTTTTTTAACGAAATTTAACATTCTAGGCTGAGTAAAAAAAATTCTCAGAATCGCGATTCGCTCCTTTCTCTTCTCGATTATCTATGCGGCTTTGATAGAACTCGCACGTAATTATATCGTCAATAACACATGTACAATCTTTAATGAGTGTGAGTATATATGATTCTTACTGAATTTTGCGAGATTTTGAATTATAATGTATTCGAAGTGTGTGCACGCGAACGTAAAAATCGAGCGAAATTGACCCGAGGACTAGCGGGGTCCCTCTCAATCGCGGGAGAAAGGCCGTTTGGCCGTCTCGTTCGCGGACTCATAGGTCATCGGGAGAAAGTGCCCTGCCTGATGTTACGGCCATCATATGATTTTGCGCTGAGAGAGTAGAGCGGTGGATGTTGTGCTCATCTTCCATTCTGTTAAATATTTATTGTAAATGGACAGTCAAGACTGTAATCGATGAACATATTCAGTACTTTTATCACTTGAACTTTCGCCTGCTGTCAATTCTTTATTTGGTATATACTACTTCAACTTGACAAAGACGCTCAAAAGTCGCACTGTTTAGTCAAGGTATAAAGTAGAGATCTTTGTGCTTATAGATATGTGGTTGCCTCAGTTTTTTCGTCGTAAAGTATTTTTATAATTCGCTAAACTTATCGTTAATATATTAATTAATAATAAATCAATAGATTTATTACTCGACGGATTGACTCGAAGATGTGATTGTAAACTGACCTATTACTGTCTTACCGTCGTAAATAGGTTTTGGCGAAAAGCTTCTAAGACGTTTTTTCACACTATGCTTAAATAAATATATTTATTGTTGTGTATGAGACATAACATAAGAATTCTACCCTATATTTTTAATTTCTTCCTAAAAATTGCCAAAGCCTATAATAGTTTTCGTTATCTATTTACATTTCATTTATCCAACGTACCTACAAACTTTTTATATTTCTGAAACAATGTGTAATATTTAATAAGACAAGTACACTTCTCTGATGGTACAAACAATATTTATTTTTACATGAATCGTATAAATATCATTTTGTATTAATTATGTTTATAATTAAATACTTTGCGAATTTAAAACTTTCGTTTAAAGGTTATTGCTCCATGCATAATATGTGTCATACCTACCAGTATGCAAATGTAACACAGATCATTGGAATGATTTTATTACTTGTTTCCACTCAAATTTGCATTTGATGAAACCGAGTTTGTTTATTTAAGAAGAAAATATCAGACGAACTCTTTATTAGTGCTTGAATTAGTAGGTAATATTGAATTTACTCATTTGAGAATAGTTTGCAAACCTAGATTTATGTTCATTTGGTAATTTTGCTAGTGTAATCAAATTTATTTTGCTAGTTTAATACTAAACTTTTCATTTCATAAATTGTTATTGTAACGCATCTATCCTAATTTTTTCTAATGAATCAATTGTTGCCCAGTTCCCACAGTCTGTACTGCATAACTTTCAACAACCACATTTATTTATGTTTTAATTCATCCATTATCTATACTTGATACGATCTTAATTTTGTTCTTAGAAGACAATTTCATAAAGGTACCAGAAGAAGAGTAATAAAGCGTTGAATTAGCCCGCGGCAAGCGTGAACTGTGCTACTAAACGGCGTACACTTGAAAACTTTTACTTTTTTTATCTATCTGCATATAATATATAATATTCCTTAAATCTTATGTAATTGTCGTTGGTGAACATATTTTGCTTTTATGTATCAGGCATTTGTAGAAACGGTTTTTAAATATGATAGGTAACCAATTTAATATCAGTTAAAATACTGCTCAAATACTTAAACCTGAGACTTAAAACATATTTGTCATATAATACTTGGGATTCATAATTACATATATGTAATTATTAATCCCAAGTATCCCATAACTAGTTTTAGGATTCATATTTTTAGGATTAATATAATGCACTTACTTCATTCGAGAGATTTCTACGAAAGTTTATGGACAAAAAAGCCAATTTATTCAAACTTTTATCAATATTCCGATTTCGTGTAAAATTTCGATTTTTGCAAATACTTCAATAATGTCTTTTTGATATCATTAGATTTCTTGATTCTCTTTTGAACATTTTAAAAGTATTTTTCTTAAATTCATTTCATTTTTCACCATTTAATAAAAAACAAAAATTAAAACTCAGTCTGAAATTATTTTCAAGCCTTATTCAAATGCTCATTGTTCACATTGTTTATAAAACTTGATATAATTATTAAATATATATAATTATAATTATTAAACTGCTTGACGGCCTCGATGTAGACCTAACAGAAGCAGACAATAACAGAAACACTAAGTTTCAGTTCAAATCCTTTTTAACAAGTTTATTTTGAATTCGCATAATTTGAAATTGTGTTAGGTTATAGAAACTCTAAATATTTTATTTTAGTGACCTTCAAAATTTCAAGGCGGATACGTCTTTTTCAAGTATGGCACAAAAATATTTCAGGCAATTATCATATTCATTGCGAAGTAAACAACCAAAAAGAAATTTTGCATATGCCGCTTTTTGCGTAATTACCATCTCTAACTTTGAACTGTATTTGCTCAATAACTTCTAACATGCATTATTTGCACTTGTTAGCATAGGTGAATATTTTGCCAAAATAGAACATATTCAGGTTAATAGTAATAATAGGACTTCTAACATGCATTATTTGAACTAGTTAGCATAGGTGAATATTACGTCGAAATAGAACATATTTTTGAGAGAAGGTAATTTTTTAGTATAATATTTCTTAATTTAGTCGATTCATATACACTAAAGTACACTCTCTTGAATTATCAATGATATTTTTTAAAGAAAAATTAAATCAGAAATTAATTATTTATGTCCTAATTTTTATTTTGACCAGTTTGATTATTTAATATGATCAAGATTGAAAATGGAGCATATTTTGATTGAAACTAAAACACATTCTAACAGAAAGAATTCATCATACATCACTTTATACTGTATACTCTTTTGATTCATCAAAAAAATTTTTTTTTAATATAAAGGTAAATCACACGTTTTTTTTTGTCTTAGACACGGTTTAAAGATCACTTATGTCATTTACGTGCTTAACATAAAAAATAAACATAAATGATTTTATTTTCAAAAGAAAGTTATTTCAGCTAACAATGCTTAATAATAATCTTCAATTTTGGATCGAATATCTAATTTATCATATTAACGATGATCTTACTATCATAAGATGATATATACCATAATAAACAGAAGTTGATGGACCATTCAGTTTATATTACAAAACTGTAATTTATTGATATATTTATTCTAATTTGCCTGCTATAGTTTCAAATACCACTAGCAGTTATTATGCTACTCTATAATACATATTAAAAATTATATGAGCAAACTACATAAATGGTAAACCTTGCCCAAAGCCAAGCTTTGATGCGTTGGCTGCTGCGATTTGCGTTTTTGATGAGTTTTGCTCACTCTTTACTGAATGTTTCCTTTTTGTGTCAAATTGTGCGTATAGTTTATTATCAGTTAACCAATTTTTTTCATTATTTTGTTCACGTATGATCTTTAATCGATCTCCACAATCCGCCTGTGAGATCTGCCGTGTTAGCGAAATCTGGCAATAGACAACGCGTCGGCGTCGTTGTGTACAAGAGCTCCTCATTAGATTTCTTCTCATGCCGTCGTTGTTGTGTTCACTTTCGACACGACTATTTCAGAAATTGCATATGGACAATCTATTTTGTTTGTAGAAGAAAACATGTCGCTAATATGTAAAACAGCAAAGGCAAAGCTACGGATGACACTAACGCAATTTCATTGTGACAAACTGACCATGCTCACTTCTCTTCCGCCTATTTTGAAATTCGTTTGAAGAAGACTTGCGTAGTTACGCATTTGTAAAGGTTTTGATAATCATTTTTGTTTTGGATCATTAAAATGAAAAATGTACATAGTTAAAACATTCTGATACTAAGCGACATCTAATAGTCTTATTCATCAACCATATAAATGAAGAGAATAAAGTTTTTCTAGAATTTCCTAACATGGATGACATGCTCTTTCTTTTTACCATTTGTCGTTTTAATTAAATCATTATTTAGAGCACGTATTTCATTTTATTACCCGAATAAAAATATTTCAAATGTTTACGATTTTCGAATGAACGAGTTTCAATTTATTAGAACTTATTTCTTTATTTTTTCATTTGTTCAATATATTTTTAGTCAACTGTTATGATTCAATTCTAATCTGAACATTATCTTCATTACTTTTAACAACATTTTTCATTATTTTTTCATTATTTTTATTATCGAAATCATAATCATTTAATTATCTTTTCTATAATTAATAATTATTTTATCAACGGTTTATTCACTATTTTTGTTTTTTCTTAATTCATATGATATTTGTATTCTGTTCCACACTCATCTGAGCTTTTGTTCTATATAAGAAGTTAAAATCGTGCTTCGTATTAGCATTAATATCCCATTTCTAGTTTGGGCTGAATGGACCATTTGGTGTCACAATATTTCAAAATAACGATTGAATACATGACAAATTTTGATGTTATGTGTCTATTAGCAAGTCATCGATTCATAATTTTAAATTTTATGTAGCACAACATGCGCAAACGCACATATAATACATATATAAATATAAATTTATATATTTATAATAAATTTGGCTAATTTTGATTTAACAATTATTTTGATCCAGTCTTCTGAGTTCTAAATAACTGTCAATAAATCTCTTGCGATCATACTGATGAACGTTACCCTTTCGATCTCTTATTATATTAAGTCTAGCCATTTACCCGAAAAAAACGTCTAGACAAGACATAGATCCAAAACAATTTATTCCTCAAATAATGCAATGTTTAAAATAAAAA